GTAATTAAAAATTAATTATTTATATTATTTATATAAAATTTAATAATTTAATAATTTTATTATTTAGCTTTATTTTGCCAATCAGAATCATCTAAAACCTTAGCAAATGATCCTATTTCAGGAATAAAAAAATCTAAAAATTGTATTACAGTTATGTTAACATATAATGCTAATAGAACAAAAAACTTCTTTCACTTTTTATTTTTCATCATAAAAATCCACGTGCTCTTTTTGATAAAAAAAAGAAAATTTACCTATACAATATTATTGGAATAAGACAGCATAGATACAAGTATCAATATGAAATGATTTTTTAAAAAAACTTAATATTCAAATGTATCGCGAAAATAGAAAAATTCTTCTTCTAGTGGATAATACACCAACATATGCTATTAATAATCCTGAATTACTTACTCATATTAAAGTACATTTTTTACCATCTAATACAACATCACACCTTCAACCACTTGATGCAGGTATCATACATTCATTTAAGGTATAATTGAAATTTATTTTATTAATTTAATAATGATAATTATATAAATTCTTATTTTATTATTAATTTTATTATTAATTATATTATATTTTTTAATAAGCACAATATAGAAAATTACTTATAAAAAATCGTATAGAAGCATATGATATAGTACAAGAATTAAATAAGACTCCTAATTCACTTAACATTCTTGATGCAATCTTATTTACTGCTGATGCATGAAAGGCTGTTACTACACAAACAATTTATAATTATTGGCGAAAGACTAATATTCTTCTTAAATTAGATGAGGATTTAAACTTTGAAAATAGAATAGATGATATTAATACTTATCTTGAACTTGAACGGGTTGATGAATTATATAATATACAAAAATTAATTGATTGTCTTGAATTTAAAGATCTAATGATTACATAAGAATTTGCTATTATAGATGATAATATTATTCTTGAAACTTTAACTGATGAAGATATTATACAATCAGTACAGCCTACACAAAATAATAATAAAAAAAATGAAGAAATAGTACCTATTCAACCTATTTCTTCTATGACAGCATTATCAGCTTTAGATAATATTTTAAGTTTTTTGACTAATCCACCTGATGGATTTGCTGTTGAATTAAAAAATCTTATGGAAATTTGTTCTTTATGAAGTCAAGTAATGCTACATAATTTTAATAGTAAAAAAACAAGTTAGTTTAAAATAATTTATGAATTATATTAGTAATAATAATATTTGACTTGATAATATATTATAGTATCGAATTATAAAACTTGTTTTAGTAGAAAAAGAGATAAAAGATTTATAATCTAGGCCATATTAATTTGTATATATTGATTTATATATTTTTCTTTTAATATATCGTTAAATAAAGATAATTTTATATAATGATATCTTGATATATCGATATTTTTAGATAAAACAAAAACATCATTATATCCAGCTTTGACTGTATATTTTTTATAGCCTTATCTATCTATTAATTGTAAATATGACGAACCTGTAATAAATTTAAAAATTAATAAAAAATTCTTTATATTTATATAGATTAAATAAATTAATACTTTACTTTAAAAGACTTATCTAATAGTTGTAAATATAAGATTAGCCCATTTAGTATAATAGCAATATCTGTATTTTTTTCATTAAACTGATGTTTTATTGAATCTATTCTATAGCACTAAATGAATCAAAAATAAGAAGAGACTTTAAATTTGAACTTAATTTTACCTATTTACATTATATATTTTTTATTTATCAAAGCATTTCTTTCTTATTCATTCAGCTATTTATATTAGTATAAATATATATACTATCTATAAACTGCTCTCATAATATCTTAACTAATTTAAAAATTATAAATAAAGGCAATTTAGTATTATCTGCAAAATAAATAAGATTCATTGTAAAATAGATGCGTTCATGTCCTGTTATAAGAATTGAAATAGTTTTTTGTTTATGCTCTTTATTAGTTATTTGATTTGGTAAATTAAATGTCATAGGTATCTCATCTATGTTATCAATTAATTTTAAAGGATAATTATATTCAGTTCTTCAATAAAGAATATAAGAGAAAACCTTGTTGTTCTTTATTATATTCTTTAGATAATCTTTATATAACTGTAATACATTAGTGATTTACTAATAAATGATGAGATATAAATCCATCTACCCATTTATGAGAAAATTGACATTTATGAATATTAGAATATAAGGTAAGATATTCTTATATTTAGCTAAATTATAAGCTTTTACACTAATCATATTTTTAGTTACAGTTTTTAATTGATTTCTTAACTCATAAAACTACTTCAAAAGCTTCACCTCAAGTTGTAAATATTTTGGCCTTGTACCAGTATTAAAACGTTAAATATATGAAGCTGCATACATTAAATTATTTTTCTTATTTTTTCAGTCACAAACTTGTTTTGATTTTATATTAATTTATTTGCAGTAGCTCGAATACTATATTCATTTTCATGATAAAATACAACCATTAATTTTTTTGGCATTCTATTGTTAATATTATTTTTGTGAATTTATAACTCGTTATGCATGAAAATTTCCTGTATTTTTTAAAATACTAATAGTTGTTAATAATTTTTAAATTTAAAAATTTTTGCATCCTTTTTTTTGTTATAAGACAAATTATTTAAGGAAACATTATGAGCCATAATTCAAAAAAGAAGTATTAATTTCTACATTCAGAAATTTTCTTATTATTATAACCTAACTCTAATTTTTTAATAGATTACTTAATTTTATAAAATTGAAAAGACTGATGCAGTATTATCAGTATAGGAGGTTAAAAGTTCTTCTATAATATCATTTTGTATAGTATCTTCTTCTATTGCTTAAATATTTTCCATAATTTTTATATAAAAAGAGGAAAAGTATTAAGGCTTTCTCAATATTTATGAATAGTGTATAGAAGGCTATGTATACAATGAGAAGCATATTTAAAAATGATAATAACATAAATAAAAGATTCAGTTGAAGAAGAGAAAATAAATTTAATTTTTTTTTGATAATTATTTATTAAAGTTGTATAATTGTAACCTCTATATATAGTATTTTCTGTTATTATATCCTTCTTAAAATAGTACACAATTTTTCATTTAGTATCTGTGAATACTATTTAATTTAAAAAATTACATTTTTACAGTATATATATTTATTATATTAGATTTTTTTATTTAAAAATTTTCTTAGATTTATATTAATTGAATATTTTTAATAAGAAATTTAATTAAAATTTATTTTAAAATTAAATATCTTTTTAATATACATGTAACTTTAAATAATACTGATCATTTTTAATATTATATTAATAAGATTTAGAAAGAAATTTATTCATAAAAGAATGAATTACTTAGAGTTGTCTATAAATATTCATATAATATTAATAATTTTTATAATTATGTAAAATGTTTAGATAATATTAAACATATAACTTTGATTTTTTAGTTTACGTAATATTAAAATTTTAAAATCAATTCAGAAACCTAAAGTTTATTAATAATTATTTTTATTAATAAAAAAAATTTATATAAAAATATTATGTTACTGTTAATGTGTAATCCTATCAAATTGTGATTATTAAATAGAATGTTTAAGTGGTAATTCTTTTAAGTTTACATAGTAAATCTAATGCAATTTTAACTTAAACTTTATAATTTATACGATAGTATACTCTCAATAATATTAAAAGCAAAATAACTTAATTGATTTAAGGTTATAATAATATATTTATTGATGATAAAAAAAATAAAAAATAAGAAAAGAAATAAGAAAATAAGAAATAAAATAAGAAATTAAAAGAACTAAAAGTACTAAATGCAAGAGTTATACTAGGTATTTCTAAAAGTGCTACTAATGATATATTTAGGTAAAAACTAAAAGAAAACTAAAAGTGAATTAGAAGTAAATTGAAGTTTATATGATTTTATCATTCTCTATTTATATTAAATTTAATACATAGATAGATATAACAAATAAATTAAATATGTCTAATATATCAAATATATCTAATATGTTCTATTTATCCAATATATCAGTTATATCAATTTATCAAATATATCCTATATATCAAATATATTCGATAAGTTATAACATTTAGATCTGCATCTTTTGCATCACATTTATCAATCTGATCTGGTTACACTACCTATTTAGTTAATTTTTAAAAAAACAAAGCTATATAACATAAATTTTTAGATTTTATATTTTGGCTGTTTCAGTTTATAATAAAATTTTTATCATATAATCTTACATAATAAATTCAGAATATCAGATTTTGTTTAAAATAAAGTAACAAAAAATTTATTTTGATTTATATAATATAAAATTTATTTATTTCAATTTTATTTTTCAAAAAGCTTTATTTAAATAATTACTTACATTTAAATATGATATTTCAAAATTTTATAAACTATTCTATTATATAAGTATTAATAATAAGGGATAAAACCCCTTAATAACAATCGAAACTTAGATGAAACTATATTAAAATCATAATAAGGGATATGATAAAACCCTTTCGATACGACAAAAGCTGAAACTGTCGAAACTATATTAAAAACATAGAAAAGGGTATGATGAAATTATTTTGAGGAGATTTCAGCAGGCATCTATAATAAATATATTTTATAATATAGAATATAACAATATAGATAACTCTTGTTATAACAAACTTTATATTCTAGACCTCAACTTTGTTATAAAGCTATAGTGAAGATTTTAAGAGATTTGATTAGCCAATTTACTATAATAAGAGTACTTTTATTATATTTATTCAAAAAATTCATTTTATTAAGAGTTCACTATATTAAGAGTTAATTGTATATATAAAAATACTTACATATGAAATAAATAAAAAATTTGAATGCCTGTATTAATTTTAAATTTTTTTTTGCTTAGTCTAATTATATAATAATTACATTTTATTTTAAAATCATCTTAACTCTATTAATATATTTATTATATATGTAAAAATAAGTTATAATTTTAAAGTTTTAAAGAATTAAAAAGGTTTACCTATTAAGAAAGAAATAAAAATAAAAGATTTTTTTATTTTATATTTATTATTTGACTAATAAAAGCAAATTTTAAATAAAGTTTACTATCAAAAATATTAGAGAAAAAATCTTAATATAATGTATTATTTGAAAAGCTATATAAAATCAATAAGTTATAAGAAAGGAATTATATATAATAATAATACAATAAAGTTTTAATTTAATAATAAAATTACATTTTATAATTATATGATAAATATTTTATATATAAACTTTTTTTGTTAAATTTGAAAAGTGATCAGGTTAAATGATATAAACTAAAAAATCAAAGTTTCATAATCTAAAAGTAAAATATTTTTTATGCTTATTTTATTTAATGGCAATTTAAATAAATAATATTATTATAATCAGTTCTTTAAGTTGCTTATAAGTGATAAGTGAAGCAGTATTTTTAAATGATAAGTAGAAGGTTTATTTTATAATTAGTTTTAGAAGTGTATCGATCAGTTAATAGTTTACTTAATAATAATAATAAATGAGTACTACCTCAGTCAGCACTCTGTACTATACAAGTATATTAGAGAGATTAAAGAAAACTATCTAAAAAATATGAATCAAATATACTATTAAGCTAAAAGAAAATGTTCTCTATTTATATAAAATAAAATACATAAAGTTATCGAAGAAATAAAAAAAATAAATATAATATATAAGATAAATATAATAAAATAAATATATAGCATAAATAAAATAAAATAAATAAATAAAATATATTGTATAAAAGAAATATATGTTATAGATGATATAGAAGATATATAAAATATATATGACTTTTTAGTGATTAATGTCATTCTTTTGATCATTATTATCTATATCTTCTTTAATATAATAATATATTTATTTATTAGAATTTTTGAAGATAAACATATAATAATTATTTGTATAATTCTTAAACAATTAACTGGATGAATAAAATATAAGCATTTTCAAATTAATTTATCTTTTAAATATGTGATAGATAAAATAAATGAATTTAAAAATTAATTATTATAATAATAAACATAATCTAAGTAAGGTTTTATTATATAATAAAAATAGTATTATATATTATTTAAAATTATATAATTGATATTT